GAAACGTACGTACGGTCCGGACCCACCGGGGTTCCTCGGCCCCCGCCAGTCCCGCAGGCGCGTGGCGGCGGGGAGAGGCCGTGGCCGCAGCCGCTCCCGTGCAGTCCCCAGCCCTGGGGGGGAACAAGGACTCATTGTGCACCCGGGGCCGCCCGTCGGGGCCGGGCCGTGCGGAAGCCGTACCTCCGTCAGCCAGGGTGCCGCAAACCCCTCAGCTATTTGCTGCCGTTTGCGGTCGCCGGAGCGTGGCTCGTGACAGCAGCTCCCACATAAAGGCGGCCATTCAGGGCTTGGGCCGCACGGGCGGCTGCGCGGGGCTGGAAGAGGCTCGTTCTGTCTTTTCCGAGCAAAGCTCTGCCGCTTGCGAGAGGCTGGTATTGAACGGGGAGAGGGGCCTCCTGTGCCCTGCAGGGGCACGGGGCTGGTTCGGGCTCTACCCCGTGCCAGGGTTGGGGTGAGCTCCTTCCTGGCACTGCCAGGCTGCTGTGCCCCGGGGTGGCGCTTGCTGGGCCGTCGTCTCGCAAAGCCTGTGAGGACCTGAACGTCCGCCCCGGGTAGTCGCAGGGCTGGGCTGTTCTCTCAGCCAGCCTGCAGTGGGGTCTCTGCCCCAGGGCACCCCCCCTGCACACCCCTTCCCGAGGTGTGTGCGAATGCCGGGCTGGGCTCCCGGAGCCAGCGCTGCTCCCGCCCTACCTGCCTGCTCCTCTGCAGGGGCACAATCGGCTCTTTCATTAGCGAGCGTCCCAGGGGGCTGTGTGGAAAATGAATGGAAAAGGCAACTGGCTGTTCTAGCTTGTCCGTTAACATCCACCAGAAAAAACGTGTCAGATTTTTCCTTGACACTTTGGGCTGGGAGGGGAGGACTCTTAAAGCTGCAGAGTTTGCCCTGCCCTGCCGGGAAGGTGCTGTGGGCTGGGAGCAGCCGGCGCTGCCCGTCTGGTCTGGCCTGGCATCTGCAACCCTCTCTTTGCAGACTCACTGCGTGGCTTTGGGCTTTGCTGAAGCTCTGGGTGGGCCAGAGATCACCAGCGGTCCCGTGGGAGCCCGTGTCCCCGGGCGCATGGGAGACCCCGAGAGGGCTCCTCGCCCTTCCCTCTGCCAGCCAGCCCTGGGGAAGCGGCCGTGTCACACAGGGTGTGCACAGGGCGTTTGGGATCTCAAATCACCCCGAGTTGGGCCATTAATGCCCTAACGCAGCCTGCGACCCTCTGCCTGGGGAAGGCAGCGGAACGCGCGTGCCCGTCGCCCGGCCATCCTCTCCCCCTCTGCCGGGCACAGACCCTCCTCCCAGCTTGGCTGGGTTTGTGGGGTGTTGGTGAGGTTTTCTGTAAATTGCTGCTACGTGAGCAGAGCTGTGGCCTTTGGTTTATATTCCTGTAGTTGTTCGACATGGTGCGGAAGAATTGTTCTGGTCGCTCTGCGTGTGGGCAGGGGTGTTCTCGCTGCCGGTGACACCGTGGCCGTGGATGCAGGGCTCCCACCTCCCGGGGGCACGCTGGAGCTCCCCCCTCCCCGTTCGTTCTGTCAGCCCTCCTGCCAAGCGCACCTCGCTTCAGGTGCAAGAGTCTTGGCCCTGAGGCCTGGCGCCTGGAGAAAGAGCTCAGTGATGAGCCCGCTCGGAGCTCTGAGCTCCCAGGAAGGTGGGGAGAGCCTCCCGGCGCTGACAGCTGGGCCGGAGCTCCTGCTCCAGGCACGTCCAGCCCTGCTCTCGTGCTCGCAGCGCTTCCCGCTGCCTTGGCAGGAGCCTCCGGGGCCTCTCCTCTGGCAGGCAGCGCCCTCCCGCTTTCAGAGGAGATTGGCCGCGCAGATGGAGAGGTGGGTAAGAATGGGCTCAATCACAGAAAACGAGCTGGAGCCTTCCACAGAGCTGAGCTGCTCCCAGGGCTCCTGTAAAACAGCTAATTTGCAATGGCACAGCCCCCTGCCCCGGCCCCCGAGCTGCTCCCTGCTGCAGAGGCACCTCTTTGTTCCCAGGCTCCGGGAGCTCCTCGCCCGCTCCTCCCGCGGAACGTCCCCAGCCGCCCTCGCGCCACAGTCTGTGGGGAAGCCGATGCTGGGCCTTGCTGGTTTGTGCTGGGCCCCCTTGAGCAGTGGGTGTCTGTGTAGGTGCTGGAGCGAGCCAGGCTGCTGCTCGCAAATAAAAGTGCTCGCTTTTACTGCTCGCTGCTCGGGTTGCAAGTTACATCAACAGGCTCCCGTTTCTGGAGCGACACCACATGCCAGGGTTTTACAGATCCTGCAGAGCCTTTGCTTTCCCTGCTGCTGTGCCCCAGGCAGAGCTGCCGGAGCCGCGCGAGCCTCCGGGAAGCCAGCAGCAAAGCCCCAGACCTCTGGGAAGCTGCAGCTGCCGCCCTCCCGCTGTGGCTGCGCTGTCGGGGGCTCTGCTGCATGGCCCCGCAGCAAAGGCTCTGCGGGAGGGGTCGTGGAGGCAGATCCTCGGCCTGGCTGAGGCAGCACTTGAGCGAGCTGGGCAACGGTTCTGTAAAGTGGCTTGTCCAAGTAAGTTGTGGCGGGGGTCGGGCTGTGCTACCCCACGTCACCTTTCGGGCGTCGCATCCCGAGTGTGCTGCAGAGCTGGTGGGACTGCGAGCGCCAGCACCCTGCCCGAGCCCTGGCCGCCTCCAGGCTCTCTCTGGGTGGGAGGCCAGCGAGGAGACGGGGTCTGCTGGCTCCAGTCCTGCCCTCCCCTGGCCGGGCTGTTTGCAGGCGGCCGGCTGCGCCCGGTCAGAGGCAGGGGCCTTTCTGACTTTCTCCAACCATCTCCTCGTCCCTCCCAGGGCTGTGGTGGTTCAGAGGAAGGAAGCAGAAGTCTGACGTCCTCCCGCTTACACCTGGCAGCTCAGTGGAGTGGGACACAGTTGTCTCTAAGCCACTGGTGGCCGAGACTGGGTCAGCAGCAGGGACAAAGCTTCCCACTGCCTGGGGAGACTTTTACATTTTACCTGCAACGGTAAAGATTATCCCTTCCCCTAAACTCTGGGTTCCTCCTTGCTTTAGGGATGGCTGCGGAAGGTCTGACACCCCCCTGTCCTGGAGGGGCTGTAGCCACAGCATGGAGTCCTCCCTGTGGTTGCTGGCACGCACAAAGGTTAAGCTAGTCTTAGCTTGCTGAGCACCAGGGAGGTGGGTGCTGTGCAGGGTGCTGCCCACCAGCCCCGAGCTCTGGGGGAGCCCCAGGGGACGCTGGCACGGCTCGGTGCTCCTGCCAGGGCCGAGAGGGGCCCCGCTGACGTGAGGTTCTGCCCTGCTTTTTCTGTCCAGTGCCACGGCGCTTTCAGGGCAGGGTTCTGGCTCTGGGATTTGATTCTTCCGCGGGCTGATGGGGGGCGAGTAGGTTGCTGGCTGGAGCACTGGTTGTCAGGGCAGCCCGGAGGATCTGCTTATCCTCTGTCCGCACAAGCAGCAGTCCCGGCGCTCCCGAGGGGCGATGGTGGATGCAGCTTTGATCGCATGGAGCCGTGTGAGTGGAAACTGCCCTTCGCAGCCAGTGGAACTGTGCGAGGAGGGTCTGGGGAGCCGAGAGGGTGGGAAGCGCCGTCCGGCCCTGCCTGGAAATCCTGGCTGTCTGTGTGACGAGGAGCCTCCCCACCCGGGGAAGAGGCAGAGGGGCTGCCCCCCGCCGCGTGGTGGCTCTCTGGTGCTTGTGCCCGTGGGTGTCAGACGCGTGTGGTTCCTGGAGGTCCCGGAGGGCTCGGGCTGAGCCTGGGGCCGTTATCGCGCTGGCTGCTACCAGCCTCATTTCATGGAACCGTAAATCCGCTTAATGGGCTGGGTGGGAATTCCAGCTCACCTCGGCTAAATGGGAGCTCTGATGCTGCGTGCGGGGCACTGGAAGTAGCTGAACTGAGACCTTATTCAGGACCAAATCACCCCCCGACCCCCTCCCAAAATAATAATAATCCCTCTGACATTCTGGCTGCCGGCGGGACACAGGCAGCCTTTGTGCTCCGCCGTTCAGGGGACCCTCTGTTGGTGCAACAGCAATGTCCCTTTGTGCGTCCCGCGTGCTGGACGGGGACAGTGAATGGAAGGTTCTGCTAGTGTTTATTTTCTTTAAAAAAGCTGAAGGAGGTGGAGAGGGGGAGAAGGAAGCCGGCTGGGAGGTTCATGTTCACATCCTCCACTCGGAGACACCTTGTCTTTGCTCCTGCGCTGCCGCCCCCTCGGCTGGGCGCCTGCACAATGAGGGCTTGTGCAGCTGCGGTGGGGAGAGCAGGGCGCTCGCCGAGGGGGCTGGAGGGGACCCCCGGAGCATGCGGGCACGGCTTCCACACGGCTCAGAGAAAATGCCAATTCCTGTGGCATGGAGCAGCCAGGGAAACAGGGACTGGATTTGTTCTGGTTTTTGGCCGCGCACAGTAGCATCTTCTGTCACAGGCTCTTAAAACTCTGTGAGAGCGGTTCCCCTTGGAAGCAAACTGAGAGCAGCTCCTTTAGGCAGATGGGTAAGACCAGGCTTAGCAGAATCCCCTGTGTGGTGACGGGCGGGTAACACGCAACAGAGTCAGGCTCAAGCTCCGTGCGGTGCCGCCGTGAGCACGTGCTCCTGCCACGCCGGGGCCCGGGCACTGAGGGGCCACCTGCCTCCTCGGCGTGAAAACCTGAGGCGCTCTACGGGATCCACGAGCGCAGCCCGTCCCGCAGCCCTGTCTTCACTGCAGCGCCTGTGGGGCTGGGCGCGAGGGGACAGACACTGCTCGGGTTTGGGGGTGGTGAATCCCAGCGCGTGGCCAGTCGGCCCGGAGGACAGATGGCTACTAGCCATGGGCTGGAGCATGTGGTGTGAGTGCTGTGACCAGCCTCACGTCAGACCCCTTCTCTGTCCCTTTTGTGTCCCTCCCCATTGTGTGAGACCCGCAGGCGCTGCGGGGAGGAGCGGCTCCGGCCAGGGGAGGAGGGCAGGAGCCACCCTTGGGGTCAGCACGAGAGCTCATGGCTGCTTCTGGTCCTGGCAGCGGCCAGGTGGGTGCACAGCGGCCCCACAGTCTCTGCGCCTTCCTCCCTGGTGCTGTGCGAGGGCTGGATTCCACCCGGGGGCTGTAGGTGCTCTTTGGGTGGCAGTTGCACACCCTGGGGCCCCCCCAGCATGTCTCAGCCCAGAGCTGGAGATGGGACGAGTGCTCCATGGGGAGCGTGTTCCCATCCTCCTCCTGCTCCCGCTGGCAGGTACTGCACCCCGTCCCCGCAGCGGGCCGGGACAAAGCAGGTTGCTAAAAAATGGTGCCATTGTGTCATGAGCAATCTGTGTATAATAAAAATATTATTTGAGCAAATGAGTCAGGAAGCATCTGGGCTGGTGTCCCAGGTTGGTGCAGCCAAATTTTTCTGGCCTTCTGTGGCGGAGCTGGGTGTTTCGGTCCTGCTGGCTCCGGCGGGCATCGCTGCGATGGAGCGGGAGGGTCGCGGTGTTCTCCCTTCGCCCGGGGCTGGAGGGGCTGTGGGAGGCGTGCGGGCAGCCTCTTCGCCCTGTGCCTTGCTGGGCACCGGTGGCTTCCCGGTGGCGCTGGGGACACCCCTTGCTGCTGCGCGAGTGCAGCAGGGAGTTGGAAGGGCGCTGGGTGTCTGTCCTGGGGCGCAGGGAGGCAGAGAGCACGTGTGTCGGTGAGAGGAGGCCGGGACCGGCTCTCGAGCAGCTGCCGGGTGTGCGGCTCCGCGGGTCCCCTGCCCCGCC